AGCACATTATGGGTTTGGAGATGGTTTGTTTGATCCCTATTTGAGATGCTGGGATCTTAAGTTTTAATTAAAACTGACTACAATTTAGGAACACTTCCAATAGGTGGCAGCAGCATCCCACAGGGATCTAAACCAGCGGGGCTTTGGGCAGATAATAGTTTGCTAATATAGTTATCTTAGATATAATCATACTGTTTGGGATTTTTAGAGGTCATCTGCTTTACCTCTTCAGAGTCAAAAAGAAGCCCAGAGAGATCAATAGCCCAATTTGTTACAGTATAATGGGGAAGAGAATTCACATCCTCTGATTTCTAGGATGTGAATGTTTTCCTCTTTGCATATATATTTAAAGGATTTCTAAAACTTGTAAATGTACTTTTATCTTGGACTTAATAGGGCTGCCTGGAAAAGACTCTGTATCTACGTTGATCTGAAGTTTTTACTAGTTGCTAGTAGAAGAAATACAAACTGAGATTACTTTTCAAATTCCAAATTGAGAACAAAGATAGCATTTTACTGCTAAGCATCTCTGGAGTTTTCTCTGGTCTTTGCTTCAAAGCAATTCAAATCAACTCATTAAAACAACTACTCTAAAATGTTAAATGAACATAAAAGCAACTCATCTTTTGGGAGAATCTGCCAGAGAACATATTCTAAAGTACATGGAATCTTAGCAAGATAAATTTTGAGCTCAATCTTGAAGCACTGTTTTTTTTTTTAAACTTCTAAACATTTATAATTCTATGGGGAATGTATTTGCCTTCATTTGCTGTTTGTCTTGGTGCTTATTTTCCTATGATAAAACTACATAACATTAAATTAACACAAGGATTAGTCAGAGTTCTCTGGAAAGAACAACTTGGCTGTGTGTGGACGAATGGATAGATAGATAGATGATGGGATTTATTAGGGGATTTGACTTTTGATTATGGGATGTTAGACAGTCCCACATCAGGTTGACTGGAAACTGGAGAACCTGGAGGCAGTAGTGTGGTTTATTCCAAGCCTGGAAGCCCCACAACCAGGGAAACTGATGGTTACCTCTTAAGTCTGAGGCAAAGGCCTGAGAACCAGGGTTGGGGTTGGGCTGCTAATGCAAACTGCTGAGTCTGCAGGCTGGAGAACCTGGAGTTCTGATGTTCAAAGGTGTCTCAGCTCCAGAGGAGATATAGAGAGATAATTCACCTTTCCTCTGCTTTTTTTTGTTCATCCTCAGCTGGTTGAATGATATCCACTCACATTGGTGAAAGCAGATGCCCCTCATTTTGTTTAATGACTGCAATGTGACTCTTTTCCAGAACACCCTCACAAATGAACCCAGAAATAATACTTTACCACTTACGTGGGCATCTCTTAACCCAGTCAAGTTGCCACCCCAAATTCACCATGATACCATCTGAATCATTTTCAGGACACACTGAATAATGTTAAGTATACATGATGTTTTGCAATAGATTTGCTTTGATACTTTTTGATGTTTACTGAAACTTCTGCTATTTTAATCAAATTGGATTTTTATTTTTAAAAATAAAAGTATGCTGAGTTTATAGTTTTGTTCAGGGAGATTTAACAAGGTGACTTTCTTCCTCATTCTCAAATTTCTTATAGGATGAGTTGACAAATACATTGCATGTTTCCACTCTTCATTTACACGTCTAACTCGAACATTGTTATATTTACAGATTGCTTTATAGTCTTAGAGTCTTCAACTTTTATCTGTTTTGCCATGACAGATTAAACCTATTACTATTCTTTCTTATTATCTTTTTCTAATCCTAAGAAAATGTCCAAATAAAAATTATGGGGTTCACTTTTAAATTTCTCAGATCTTAATTAACTTTTCATTGTTGGCTTCACCCTCTCAGCCTTGGGATCTCCTGGGGCAGTTTAACTCTAATCCTGGATAAGAAAGTTTATTTTGGCAAAGTTGCATGTTCATGTTCACAGTTGATTTGGGAAGTCATTGACCTCTTTTTATTTTAATGATCTTAGTTACTCAATTTCTTTCCATAAGTTAGCAGAATTATCTTGTATATCAAAGGTCTCAGGAATGGATTCCTTTGTAGAGAGTATTTCTGTCATTTATTCTTATCTTTTCAGACGAAGGATGGCTAATTTGATTTGCATGAAACAATAAATTTTTTTGGGGGGGCAAATGTTATTCCTGAAGAAAATACTTATCAAAACACAAAACTGATGTTTTAAAATATCAGACTTTCAGAGCTTCACAAGTCCTTGGAGAATGAGCACAATCTGCTTGGCCCAGAGGAGCTGATTCACTTTCCCACAGTGACAGGTGCAGGTTGTGACAGTGCCCGGAGCAGCACCCAAACCTTCAGGAGAAAGTGCATCATTGTCATCACATGGCCAACGAGTCACCACAAAACGTGAACTGCAAGAAAGATGCTTCTTGGCCAGACCCAACAGATGAAGTTAATGACACGTTTACATTCTTTCCCTCAGGCACTGAGTTAAGCCTTTCTTTAAAAAACAAGAAAAAGTTTTATTTGTAAAAAATTTTATTGGTTCTTTTTAGTTACCCACCACAGTAGAATCCATTCTGATGTAATGGTACAAGGATGAAATATATTTTGTTATTCTTATCCACATCTTATTTAATTGTCGCAACAACCCTCCTGGGGTGGGCATTATTATTATACCAGTTTTTGAAATGAAGAAGTTGATATGAAAGATGAAGCAACTTCACACGTTTATATTGATAAGATAGCAACTTTCTCAGTTAAAAATCGGTGTCATTAACCACTGTTTTAGTACAGTGTGTTCGTGTTTTTTTTTTTTTTTTAACTTCCAACAAAAGGGATCATAAAGTAGAAGGTTGCCCACTAACATGAAAGAGAATCTTCCTGAATCCAAATCAGTGAAAACTCAAAAGAGAATAAGACAGAGGACTGGAAAGAAGGTTCTGGTGAGAGGTGGTTGGCCCCTTTCACCATCGCTCTAGAGAACAATTAGTCTTCTAACGATTGCTGGGATTTTTGCATTGGACCCTGGAGTGAGTGACAGAGGGTAGCCTCTTGGAGAAAGAGTGTGGTGACCTCTGCCCATTAAAATAATGAACTCCCATAGGCCATTAGGAAGGCTTGGTAACAAGGATCCTGGATTCTACAAGCAGGTGTTTAAACAGAGGCCAGTATATAAAACATCGGCAGAACCAAAAAGCAGGCACAGAGCAGAAAGAAATGCAGATTAACTGAAGTTTTCAAAAGATGTGAAGGTTGCAAAGCAACCAATATATATTTTTTTCTCTTGTAGCACAAGATCTCAGGACACTTCTGCCTAAAATAATCCTGTAAGTCCAGTTTATTTTCTCCTACCTCATTCATCCAACAAATGACAACTGTAAATTCTCAGTCTATTCCACCTCTTATTTTGTAAAAGGGGAAGAGTAGTTGCCACTTCCTGAAGCTGTGTGGAGAGGTAAATGGGTTTGTGTAAACTGAGTCAGAACAGTGTCTGATACACCATAAGTACTAAATAAGTGTTCGTATTTAATTATGATTATTATATTATTATTTTGGTATTATATATTTTATTATTATAATAGACTAAATATAATAATCCATAGCCACTCTGCTAAACTCTGAGAAGAAGCAATGAAAAGAATTAATTCATTCAATAAATATTTATTGGATCTGTACATCCAAGACACTGTTACAGGTAAATAGATCCATAAACAGAACAGGCAAAACTTTCTGCCTGTTTTGGAGTGGCTTATATTCTTGAGAGAAGATTTCATCAAGATAAGAAACACTAAACTCATTTTCTTTTTCTTTTTTTTTTTTTGATGGACACAATAGATAGATGTCATGGTGAAGAACAGTCTTGGCTTTTTTCAGCTTTGACATTCAATCAGTGATTTATAGAGAGCTTTAAAAGTTTTAGAAAATACAAAGTGAGAAGCAGTTTTTAATATTTTGAGTGATGGAGAAACAAACAGTTACACTCAACCAAGCACGGATGGCCACATTCCATACAAATGAAATATCAGCGAATTCCATTTCACCAATGAGTCCTCCCAAGGTACTTCTGCCTTTTTACACCCATTTATATTTCCTCATTTTGATCTCACATCAGGCCTCGCCTTGTCTTTCTCAATTGTCAAATGCAATGGGTTCACCTCACGTTTTCAAAGTGATAATCTGATGTGGCCTTCTAACATCAAACTTAGTCTTCGGCTGATCATTGTCCTTAACTCTCTAACAAACCCTCTCTTCCCCCAGCTTTTCTTGTTAAGGAAATATAAGTTCTTGACCACCATCGTCAGCCCATTTGAATCAGCTCTGGGATGGCTCCCCATCTCTAACTCCATGATGGAAGCCAACGGGGCCAGTCCAAGTTTTTATCTTTCTATGAATTTTATGTGAATTTTATCATAAATTTGTCTAGTCCTTACCATAGACACACAGACACACATGATTTGTTTTTCTTTTCATTTTGCAATCTAGAAGAATGATTTGGATGATGGGATTTCCTTTCCCCCAATGGAATATGTTAAAGATTATAGGCCATTGGAGTTCTGATATTGAAGATGTATAAAGCATAAAATTTTTTAAATCTTAATTTGGTTTATATTTTTAAGTCAGAAAGTCTAAGAGAGGCCCAAGGAAATCCAGTTCTAAAAGGACCTTGAAACTCCTCTGACTCAACCCTGCCATCTTGAGAAGTGAGGCTCTTAAGGGATGAGAGGCTTTCCACCGTCCTCGTCTACGTAGGAATGGAGCTGAAGACAAAATCATCTTTCTGATCCTGGCCAGTTTCTACTCCATTCACCAGAATATTTTTTTTCCAAGAAGGCATATAAAATAAGAATTTAAAATAACACCAAGGTATTATTTAACCCTGGCTTGCTCTGGAAAGATTTTTTCTTGGAAGTTGGCGAGAATTGAAACTGGGTATTGACTGTACAATCTTCTAGGACAATTCTGTTCTTGGAATAATGAACACAATTTATCTGACACAGGGTTTCTTCTTTTCTTCATGCAGGACACCTATGGTGGTACAAAGGAACAACACAGTTGTGACAAAATTCATCCTTCTAGGGTTCTCGGATCATCCTCAGATGAAGACTTCCCTTTTTGTGTTATTTCTGGGGATCTACCTCCTGACTGTGGCCTGGAACTTGAGTCTTATTGTCCTCATCAGGATGGACTCTCACCTGCACACACCCATGTACTTCTTCCTCAGTAACTTGTCCTTCCTGGACATCTGCTATGTGTCCGCTACAAGCCCCAAGATGCTTTCAGATATCATCACGGAGCAGAAAACCATCTCCTTTGTGGGCTGTGCCACACAGTACTTTGTCTTCTGTGGCATGGGGCTGACTGAGTGCTTTCTCTTGGCCGCCATGGCCTATGACCGCTATGCTGCCATCTGCAACCCGCTGCTGTATGCGGCCCTCATCTCCCACACGCTTTGCTTAAAGATGGTGGCTGGCGCCTATGTGGGTGGGTTCCTCAGCTCTTTGATTGAGACATCCTCTGTCTATCACCATGATTTCTGTGGGCCCAACATGATCGACCATTTCTTCTGTGATCTTCCTCCGGTCCTGGCTCTGTCCTGCTCTGATACCTTCACCAGCCAGGTGGTGAACTTTATTGTGGGTGTTGTCGTTGGAGTGATATCTGTCCTTGTGATCCTCATTTCTTACGGTTATATTGTTGCTGCTGTCCTGAGAATCAGCTCAGCTAAAGGTAGGACCAAGGCCTTCAGTACCTGTGCCTCTCACCTGACGGCTGTGACCCTCTTCTATGGTTCTGGTCTCTTTGTGTACATGCGACCCAGTTCCAGCTACTCCCTGAACAGGGACAAGGTGGTGTCCATATTCTATGCTGTGGTGATACCGATGATGAATCCCATCATCTACAGTTTTAGGAATAAGGACATTAAAAGTGCCATAAAAAAAGCTGTTCATATGGACAATGGGCTTTCTCAAAGGCATTCATTTTTTTGACTTTGGGCTAATATTCACAGTAAAGCCATGAGCTGGGTCAGTGGTACAGATACTAACGTAGTTTTGGACTATTGAATCTATATAGTGATTTGTGTGGATCAAGCTCTTTTCCAAACCCTAAGACTCTATTAACCAATTTATCTATTGGTGATTAGAAAATAATCTATCCATCATTGGTTTCCAGAATTAACAGTGTTGCCTAGCACTGTGTTTCCCGGGCTTGAGAATCATGGTGACGGTGAGCCAGTGTGTCTGATGGGGCTGTGTTAATGCTCTTTAGAGGTATTAAGGCAGCAAATCTGGTTTGAGCCTTACTGACTGAACATGTGGGGCAATCTCTTGATCAATTCAATCAACTACACAAGAAAGTAGTCACTCTAATCTAAATTTTAAAAATAAAACCAAGGAACTATTGCATAACTCCAAAGTGACAGCTTTCTAACTAACATTCAAAGTTTGCTGAGGATCCTAAAGAGAAGCACATCCTCATTTAGGATGAAAAGCTCTCTGTTTTTTACCAAGTTTGTGATCAATTCTATTTTATTTACTTATATTTTATGTGGTGCTAAGGATCAAACCCAGTGCCTCACATGTCTAGGCAAGCACTCCACCACTAAGTCACAACCTCAGTCCCTTGTGATAAGTTCTAGATGAGAACTTAGCCAAGGAATTAAAGACTGTGATTTTTCTCTTTCACCTTTTCTCAGAATATACTATGTGTCTATGAATGGGCAGTTAAGAACTGATAAACATATTCAGCTATGGTGTTTCTTGGGTACTCACTAAATAAATGAGAAAATAATAACTGTGTGTCCTTGGACAAGTCCCTTGGGCTCTGTGGGTCTCAGTTCCTCACCTATAAAATAGGAGTAATTGTAACTGCCTTTATCCTCTAGTCTTATTATGAAAAATTAAATGAATCATTCAAATCAACACTTAGAACAGTGCCCTGCATACAGTAAGTGTTCAAGACATGCTGTGATGATGAGGGGGTGATTTATTACAGTCTAAGCCAAAGGAATAGAAACATTTTATGGCTATCTGAAACAAGATGAGACATGAGTGTCTTTAGGGAGGGCTGGCTAGCAGGAGAACTCACTTTAGTGAAGCTGCCGCCATCCAGGGTGTGGTTCTCATTTGTGCAACCTCCTTCAGAAATCTTTTCCAGATGGACTGGAGTTAACCAAGTTCAGAATAGCTCACTGCATAAGCCAGGATGCTATTTTTTAGCTTTCAGGGAAGAACAAACTGCCAAGATGGTACTTGTGGGAGGGGTATAATTCTCCATATGCTTAAGAAACCACACAGGGAGGCAAATTACAACTAAAATTCTATTTGGAGAGAGAGGAATCAAAGCCACATGGATAGGTGTGTCAGCACCTGATATGCCCAACGTCAGGTCCTTCTAGCCGGAGGCCCTGGGCCAGGACGCTGCCAAGTGTTCTCTCCAAGCATCCCTCTTTCCTCTCTCCCAGAGGGCCATCGTCCCTTCTAAGCAGTGCACTGTGAATAGATAAGTGAATCGACAGTTTTTCCTTATTTTGTTCAAGTAATATCTTTTTCCTGTTATGTACTTGATTTGTCTGTGGTGGGCTGATTTTACGGTTTGATCTGCAGACATCTGATTGTTGTCCCTAGGTACCACTAGTGTTCCCTGAACTTTTTTTTTTTTTTTTTGTAATTCTGCATAATTATACACTCATGAAACAGTGAGTGTGTTTATTAAAGACTCTAATGAGGTTTTTACCTTTTTTGCTTAATATGAATAGTCTCTCTTTTTTTTTTTAAAGAGAGAGAGAGAATTTTTTAATATTTATTTTTCAGTTTTCGGAGGACACAACACCTTTATTTTATTTTTATGTGGTGCTGAGGATCGAACCCAGAGCCCTGCGCATGCCAGGCGAGCGCGCATTACTGCTTGAGCCACATCCCCAGCCCAATATGAAGAGTCTCTTATCTGTCTCATCCTTAAATTAGACAAACCTGGAGCTTGCCTATTCTGCGACGTTCCACACAAGTAAGGTATCACTTCCATTTTACTTTTGCCTGTGTTCAGATAACTGATCTGGACCGCCCAGACCTAAAACCAAGCAGAAACAGCCTGACTGTCTTGCACATAAAGAGATATACCATGCACCCTACTTTTCCCCCTTCAGCTTGATCGATGACTATCTTTACTGAATTTTCAGTGTCTTGTCCACGGAGATAAACCAACTGTTTCCATCCTCTCTTTCCTTTATTGCTGACCGACACCTTTTATTGTGCCATATTGTTTATGACGCCCCTTTTCTTACAAGCAAAGGAAAAGCTACAACAGTCTTTTGCGATCGTGACTTGGGATCTGCACAAACTGGACGTGGCAGTATCTCCCTTCAGTTTCTAGTCCAGATGACTGGCACTGTTTAGTTGGAAGACAGACAGACCACAGCCTTTGATGGGACCACATTCTACAAATAAATAGGCAGCCAAGTTCTGAAATAGAACTCTGATCTCAGACTGGACTTTGATCCAGTCAGCATCTGTAGAAAAATCAGCATGCATAAATTGTCACTTTGGTATTGTATGGCACATTCCTGTTTGTTCTCATAAAACCTTTTGTGAAAAAGGAGGTTGGGTTGTTTTCATCTTACAAAATCCTTAAGGAGCAAACTGGATCCATCTGGTCCAGAAAGAGGAAGTTGGAAAGTCAGACATACACTGAATTTCAGTTTATGTTCTACAGACTGTAAGCTAAGGATATAGCCTGGCAGGGGGCATCTTACTCTTCCCTTGACCCTCAGCCTGCAGCACAATTGGAGGTAAGACTCCATCTGGCCTGAGCTGCTGCTGGGAAGTGCCCTGTGACTCAATCAATAAGAAGTGGGAAGAAAAGTCCTGCACCAGCCCAATCTTTCCTCTCTCCTTTCATGTATCTTGTGATGGATACTCTTGACAATGGGCTGGCTGTCTGTACTACCTGCATGGATACTACTTTTTTTTTTTTAAGCTCCTATTTTTACCAGAAGGCAAAGCAAGAATTTTTTCTTTGTTTCACAGTCTTAGTGTTGGTGGCTTTCAAATCTTGGAAGGTTCTGGAATTGTTTATATTCATCATGTGTTATGTTTTGGATGAGTGTCCCCCAAGGTACATGTGTTAAAGGCTTAGTACCCAGGATCGTGCTATTAGATGGTGGTGGAACCTTTGAGAGATGGGCTCTAGTGGAAGGTCCCAGGTTGCTGAGGGCATGCTTTGGAGGAGGATTTTGGGATTTCTCTGTCTCTCTTTCTGCTGCCTGAATCATGATATGAACAGTTTGCTCTGTCAATGGTATCTGGAGCTCTCACCAGAGGCTCAAAGCAATGGTATGGTCCAGTCTTGGACTAGAACCTCTAGAAACCATGAGCTAAACAAACCTTTTAGCTTTACAGATTAATCACTGCAGGTATTCCATTGTAGTAATGAAAAGCTAACACAGCACGACTAACACACAAGCTGAGTTTGACACTATCCTTTCTGTATTCTCAAAGTAAGTGACCTCTTGGAGTTTGTAGTGGGGTTTGGAGTAGAATGGGGAAGAATCTTACTTTGGTAAATCTTTCTGTGATATTACCTACCTGTTTTAGATTTCAAAGAGAAAGGAGAAGGGAGGAGGGAAAGGAAAGGGGAAAAGTTGGGGAATGATATTATCCAAAATACATTGTTATATTGTTTGCATATATGAATATGTAACACTGGATCCCACCATTATGTGTATCTGTAATTTACCAATAAATTTAAAACCTTAAAAAAAAGAGGAAGGGGAAGGTGGTTTCAAAGCACGCTCTTGGTCACTGTGGCTTCTATTACTAAAGACTGCATTTTTCTGTTCTGGAATTTGAACAGTGTCTGCCACATCCTGTGGGCTTAATCAACCTTTGCTGAATAAATGAATTAACCTTCGTATTCTAATACAAATCAGTATTTTGGTTCATATTGAGTTAAAATTATCATATTACTTGTACTCAGCAAAGTTCCTGCAACTGTTAACAAACAAATAAAATGAAGGAAAGTTGTTGGTAGATTTCTGAGGGAAATATGGTCATCATGTCTATTTAGTTTTAGGGTATATTAGATTACAACAACGTGTATCCATTTTTTTGTTGTTTTAAAAAGAGTTGGCTTTTTATAGTGAAATTAATCAAACTTGTTTATTAGTAGGGCTTGTCTTTCAGATCAATTAAACAGTGTAAGTAAAGTTATTTTGGATCCTATATTTATGATGTAGACTTCTTCAGTTTTCTAATCTACTCTGATAAAATGCAATTTAGTTTTTAAAACTTTAATTATAATCTAAGGATGAAAGTAAAAGGTGATTTTCTCACACCTTAAGTATTCATACACACGTACAATACATAGTTATTATTCAGGAATCAGTGCTTAAAAACATTACAATATGCTTTTGAGTAAACAGGGATGAGAGTAGTTAGATAACAGTATAAACCAATTTTTATGAGCAGAGATGATAATTAGAAAACCAGGTTGAAATGAATGTGATTAAAAATATATAAACACACAAAAAGTTCCATTCCAAGGGCAATAAAGGGAAATTAAAACAATTTTTCTACCTAATGAAATATCAGTAAACAACAAATATTAAAATAATTTAAAAATCACATTAGCTGAATATTGGGGGATATAAAGTGGGCAATGGTGTACAGTCACCTATTTCTAGCAAGAATATGATACGGTCTAAAATTTTTGAAAATATCATTGTAATATTTGGTTACAAAACATAGACCAGATCCACAAATCATTTCTTCCTGAAGTTTGTCTAAAATGACAGTAAGTTTAGAAACCACCATGTTGTGGAGAACAAGAGAAACAATATCCCAAACTGGAAGCTGGAAAGTGAATGCAGGAGGCAACGAATTCAAGATTCAATAAATCCTGGAGCTGTGGTGGGGGGTGCGAGGGGGGAAGTCAGGAAGAAGCAAGTTGGTTCTCATTGCATGACCCCAGAGAGGATCAGAAGTGGAAGGTACTAGGAACCTGCATGGAGCAGGTGGTGCTGACACTAGGG